TTTAGGTGGTAAAGTTTTGTCTTTCAATATAACTTCTTTTATGCTTTAAATGGCCTTTTACTGTGGTTTTTGAAGTCTTTGTCTCCTCAGAAATAAAAGAAAATAAGGACCTAGCTGTATTAATAAAACATTTTGAAAAGTAAAAAGAGTTGGTGCCAGGTGAACTGTTTGCTAACATGCTGTTCCAGATTTTACATGCTGGTATGGATGCTGTCTCTTGGCTGTAAAACAGAAGATTATTTGGATTGCACTAATTGATGTAACAGTAATTAACAAATGATTAGTAAAATTCCTTTGAGAAACTGAGCTGTCAGTCACCTTCAAAGCTAAGTTAAAAAAATATTTCTGCTTTATGTACTTAAACAACTTTCCCCACTCCACCCAGAAACCAGAGTATTACGAGCCTTCGGAAAAAAGTGCATTTGGATTTTTAGAAAAGTGCACATCGGGTAAATAAGAAACTAGTAGATACACTAGGCAGACACAAATTGAAAACACCCTTTCTTAAAAAATGCTTAAAAAATAAATAAAATGAGCTATTATGCTTTAATGTTAAATGTGTTACCTTTCATGAGTTGACTTTGACTTTGCTTAGAACTGAAGCATGTGTTACTGTTCTTCCAGTTGTGTTTGTGTGTCCTTGCCAATCAGTTCGTACATACAGACAAATGTACTTTGCAGTTCCTGGATGGGGCCAGGCTGGTTCCGTAGCACAATGCCACAAAAACATCACTGTTCTTAAAAACCTTAAAGAAGCATAGTGTAGGTTATTCCCTTCATGCTGGTGATGTAGCTGCAAGATAACTGTATTCGTAGAATTTTATGAATAATATAAGGAAGCTGGAGGCCATCTAATCTAGCCTAATGATCAAAGCAGGGGCAACTTCAAAGAATGGGGCCTTGAGTAACTGAAAATTTTATATAACTGCAGGGAACTTCCTAGGCAACCTGTTGCCGTTTTCATTGTGAATGTTTTTTCCCTGGCATCTAGTTGGAATTTTCTGTGCAGCTTCTGGGGACAGCTGCCTCTTTTGCTGTGCATCTCTGTAACTACCCATTTGACATTCAAAGTTGACAATTAGATCACTACAAGCACACATCTTCTCCTGCCTTAATCATCTCCAGGCTGAATGCATCAAGCTTCCTCAGCTTCTCCTTACACATCATGCATGCACTTCATTACTCTAACCACGTTAGTAATTTGACCAAAAAATATTTACCTGTGAGTTCTACAAGTACTTAGTGAAGGTACTTCTGTTTTGTTCACCCAGTGTGATTCTAACATATAAAGTAATTAGGAAACACACTGGTAAATGTGATAATGAGGAGGAGCTAATGCTTTTCCACAAGGTGGGAAAAAAGGGAAGTTAGAGAGTTATATCTTTGTTCAAAGTCATGCTTTGAAAGAATCAACAAGCATGTGGATAAGGGTTATCTAATCAGTGTGATGCCCTTGGATTTGTTGAAAGCAGTGGTCAAAAAAAAAAAGTTATCAGGCTTTAATCAGCCTGTTAAAGAACCTAAGGTGTCAGAGAATGGGGCAGTCCTCCTATGGGTTAATAATTGATGAAAACCAAACCAGATGTAATGAGGACCCTAAGTGAGGTATTACAATTCAGAGCAGTTATTAAAGTCCTTGTAAGTTACGTTATGGAAACATGAAATTAGTGTCTGTTGGGGAACAAGCAAATTAAATTTAAAGAATTACTTAGAAATCAACAGAGAATAAAATAGAAAATATGCTGCAGAGTTGTACAATAACATATGGCATCCTTTTTTCATGGGTAATGTGTCTCTGTCTCCTGCAAAAACAAGTCTCAAACAGCAGGAGAGCTCGAAGGTGTACATGCAGCATCAGAGGTAAGGAGAGGGCTCTGTACAGTTAGAGATCAGATGACAAGAATTCTTAACTTGATAAAGATGTTACAACTTTTATACTGGAAGTGGAACCTCCAGTTAGCTTTCTCGTCTTTCAAGCAATGAGAAGGTTTAAAAAAAGGCACGTTGGCAGAAAGCTGAGCAGAAGATAGGCAGGCACTTGTAGTTGGAGTAGTTTATATCATTTTCAAGCATTCTGCAAGGAGCAAGACAAAAAAAAAAAAAAAAAGCCAGATAGTGGTGTCTGAACTCAAAGGAGCACTGAAGGAACAGAAAGGTGTAACAGACTGTTGCAAGCTTGATAGCTGCTGACTCTATAAAAGAGCATTTAAAAGTTAGTTAATATGTGAGAGTGACAGGCTGCAGCATGGGTGTCTAACCTCAGGGCTGCACTGAGTGAAGAGAAATTGTCTGGGGCTGCATCTGTGGAGGTTGTTCTGAAAGTAATACATCCTAATTATTTCCATGGAAATTTACAGAGGTACAGAGAGCACAGTAGCACTGTTTAGTGGATTGAATTCTCAGCTACAAAATGCTGTTTTTCAACACAGTCACAGCTATTACCTATGCATTTTCACTTGCAGTGAACACGAGCCTGCATGCTGTGCTTGTAACAATCCTGTAGCAACCTGCCATCTCTGCTGCTGAAATGCACTACTCAGCACCTCGCTGTTCTCACATCCACTGTTTGATCTCCATGTCAACAGTCAGCAACTGTAGATGAATGGCAGTGCATGCCATTTTTTCCACATGGAGGAATTCAGTGATTCACTTTTGCTTCATCCACCATTGTGTCAAGCTGCCCTTTGCTGCCATCTGTCACACAGCAACAGCATGTAACAGATATTACAGAATCACAGAATGGCCCGGGGTGGAAGGGACCTCAAGGATCATGAATCTCCAACCCCCCTGCCACATGCAGGGCCACCAACCTCCACATTTAACACTAGACCAAGCTGCCCAGGGCCCCATCCAACCTGGCCTTGAACACCTCCAGGGAAGGGGCATCCACAACCTCTCTGGGCAGCCTGTTCCAGCACCTCACCACTCTCTCTGTAAAGAACAATATTGGTCAAAGGTTCAGCCTCTGCTGCCGTACCACCATCATCTGCCTCTGACACTGTGGGCCAACATCATAACTTGGGAAGTATTACTTTTGGAACAGCCCTCATAAAATGTGTAATATAGGTAATGTGTATAAGTAACAAAACTTATTTATTTATTTAAAGCATACAAAGGAGAATAACAAAAGCATAGTGCTGGTGGGATACACGACCCTGTTTTTGTGACACTGACGCATCTGTCAGGTTCGATGGCAGTTCTCAGTGAGCTCTCCAAGTGTTCGTCAGAGGTTCGTCAGATGAAATCTTACTCTTGTGCTTCATCATAGAGTTTAGTTGTTCACAAATGTGCATACTGCCAAAAGTGGTGACATGAATAAGGTGTGACTATGAAGCGAGGGATATGTTCTCTCTGCTAAGAGAGAGCTTCTGAAAGTCCAGTAGGTAGACGTGATCAGATTATAGATTGCAGTTCTGTATGTTCCATTTGAAAACTCACACCTATGAATTTGATTTAGTTGATTTAGATTGAGGTGATTTACATCAACTGAAAATGGAGTTGCAACTAAACAAAAAAATTGATTCTCCTCTTGGCAATCTTGAAATCTGTTCTCAAATTCATTTATCACAGCAGAAAGCGTGGCTGCATGTTTTTCTCTATTCACAGGACCGTGCTCAGCCAGTGTATCAAAACCCATAAACTTCGTTGCCATCACTTGAGCTGGCACTGCACTGCATCCTGTGCCCTAGTTTCATCCTGGATGGGGTTAAGAGTGTACCAATATTCAATTGGTGCTGAGTGATGGCTGTGCTGGGCCAGCTGCCCTAGACTGGGGGCTGCTCCATGGGGCAGAACCACCACCACAATAGTTTAGGGCAGGGGGCGGCTGCAGTGTGAGCTGTGTGTGGCCACAGACAGTCTGTGGGCTGTGGGTTGGACTTGCCTTGACTGTAGCATCCCGAGAAGCTGTGTGTGGGACCAACAGTAGATTCTGGTGCAAAGCTGTCAAGTTTGTCATGGTATAGGAATGGCAGCTAGGAAGTACAAGCCTTTGGGAAAGCAAGGCCTTCAGAATTGAGTTTTCTTCAACTTTCAGTTGATTAAGTGCATTCATTGGAGAGTATCATGGACTGATCACAGACTATCTTTGTATGAGATAATGGGAAAAAGAAAGGCAAAGGAAGCTGTGCCGTGCCCTTCTAACTCCATTGGCCCCTTTAAAAGAGATTTGAGGGAAAGAACTGTCAAACCTCTAATCTTGTTTGCCCCATGAATCTTTCCTGGTATCTTGTGGTATTGTTCATTTTTTTGTTGGTTGGGTTTTGGGGGGGTAAAGGGGGACGGAGACAGGGACATGACTGTCTTGGAACATCAGATTTCGAAGGATACCTGATGTTGTATTTTTGTCTTATGTAGTTAAAACGTAACCATCAGTGGCAACTGTGGATAGCTTATGAACAGGAAAATAACAGTTTTCCCTTCAGGGTTGGTCTGCATTTGTTCACATGTGTTTTGCTCATATTCTGGCTTCTTGTAGACTTCTTTAATTCTCTCCAGCTGGAAGGGATCACCTAGGAGAAAGAGGAAGGTTGGAATTACTCTGTTGGAAAGTCCGTGCTAAACAAATGTAATCTCTTGTAGATCAGCATGCCTCAGAAGGGTATGTCAGATGCTGGGGAATTGGGCATGGTTTTTAAGTGGTTATGCAAAAGACTTTGGTAGCCACTAAGGAGAAGTGGGTTGAAGAGGAGGGGAATATGCCTTCTATCATAAACCTGTTAGCTCTACTACTGTGCATTGGCAGAATAAGTGGACCGTAAGGAGTTAAGTCATGCTCATACTAGATCACTGAGATGATTACACAAAAGGAAGGTGAGAAAAATATATTAGGAATCTTAATTTCTTTCTGCTTCAAGAGCATGAATGCTGCGTTCATTTTGGCTCTCTGTGGCGCTCAGAGCTAGTTTCTGTTAGTAGGCCTTGGTAATACTTATGAAACTGAATTGCAAAAATAATACAGTTTGGCTGACATGCAGATTTCTACTTCTGTTTGTTTTTAGGAGTTGTTTCTCTATTGGCTGTTCATCCCTCTACAGTAAATACACTCGGAAAACAGCTCCTGCCAAAAACATTTGGACGGTCTAATGTCAACATTGCACAGCAAGTGGTAAGGAGATGTGTTGTTTTCTTTTAACTTACGTGCTGTAAATCTTAGTTGCTGATATTCAGTATCACTTGTCATGTGCAGATTGTCTAAATGTTTCTAGCTTTAATAGACTCACTAAATTAGAACAAATGTGCTTTTGCAGAAGGAAATGAGAAAATGACATTCAGATCAATAGGCAGATACCTGAATATTCAGATTCCTTTCTTTTTTGGTAGTGTTGCCACTTCTAATCAGTGGCTCTTTCACATGTTCGTTTGAAATCTGTCATAGAGACATGTAAATGAATTCTTCTAGCACGTTTTTAGTGAGATTGAAGTCAAGTGCAACAAAATTGAAAGCAATTTTGAAAGCAAAGTTTTCTTTATTCTAAATTGAGGTATCCTTTTGCTTTAACTTTTACTGTTGTTTTGTGTGAGGCGTATGAAATTAGGATTCAAGGAATCTAATAATGAAGTTGAAAATACACAGGTTATAAGAAGCCACTTCTGTAGTGATCAGAATTAAAATGTGGTGATCTGAAGAGAGTAAGTCTCAAGGTTTCCATCTTATGGAAAGCAACTGTATTGTGTAAAGATCTGAAAGTTAATTTGTCTTACGTTTGAGTTTCTTGATACAAAAGCAGTTTACCATCCCCCTTTCCCAACTCTTAAGCTCTAAGGAGGAAGACTGCCTAAATCTATAAACTGTAGCACTTCAACTGTACAGCTGTTGTGGAAAGTCTAGTCCCTCTAGTCCTATCTTTATAACTGCTTACCAGCTGTACTTTGAAATTGTTACCATGTTCAGAGAGCTGCTCTGGTGTAACTGTCAATTTGAAGAGCACAGCGAGGGAGAAGAGCAAAACCAACAAGCCAAGAAAAAAAGCAAAGCAATGAGAAACCCACAAACCTCTACACTCTCCCATGTCCTGAATTGAACTGCAATATCTACATTCAAGTCTTGAGGTTCACATAATTTGAAGAGTCCCATACGAGATAGACTAAAGATTGTTGATTAACGAAGTGTCAGTGAAACTGCAGATTATTCATTGTATGCATTTCCAGTAGCAGTGGTGAATTCAGTGCCTCCAGCAATTGCTTGAAAGGTAGAGTTTATTAAAATGAGTTTAGCTGAGTTCACCTCTTCAGTAAGAGATATTTTATCAATAAATATCCAAGTACAGAGCTGTTAGATATTCTTTTAATTTAAATGCAGTAACTAGCAGTAGGAAGAGAATGGTTTTTTCTGCATATCACAGTGGCACGTAGTTTGTCTTCTGGACATTACTCTGAGGCTGTATACTTGAGGCTGTGTACTTGAGTTTAATGTTGAAAATGAAACGTTCTTTTTGGTAACATGGAAGACTTTTTCTTAAGTTATCAAAACGAGGGTTTGATAATGAAATGACAAGCTATCTGATGCCTTTTTAAACTTTGAAGGTTGAGTAAATAGACGTTTACAGTCCTGTGTGTGTGCATATGCACTAATTATACATCTGTAAATTGTCTTCACCTCATTTAATTGACAAATGCTCGTGTACTTTCAGTCTTGCACAGTAACATGAAATTGCTTTTCTTCATGGTGTCTTTCTTAGTGTGATCACTGTGTGAAATTCATGCTTGCAGTGAAGAATTTGTCAGCATTTTAAGTGTTATTCTAAACATTTTAAGTAAGAAAAAAGATGGCCCATATCAGCATATTTGTATTGACTGTTATTGGTACAAAATAAGATGCTTACTTTTATGTTGGCAGAGAAGAGATGGAGTTCTTGTTCAATCTCAAGTGTATATTGAGAGAAAATTTTTGGATAAAATTATGCTGGCCTTATAATTCAGAATGATAGCAAGAAAAAGCTATAAACCTGAAAACTGAGGAGATAATTGTTTTTTTTTGCCAACAAGCAAAATTTCTTGGTAAAGAATTGAGTTTGCTTGTGACCCTGATCAACTTTTTAACATCTGTCTGGTAAAATCATGTTTTTAATACTTAAAGATTTAATTTTCTGAGCTTGTATTCTTGTTCAGTTGGTATTATTTCTTCTCAGGAGAAAAATGTTAATGGTGACAGCGCTGTAGTACAGTGAAGTGGATTGTGAAGGCTGTCATGCCTGTTCTTTTCCATTTTTTGATCTTCTTTATTCTTAAGGAACTGAATTTTAATCTCATTCTTCGTAAATCCAAAAACATTTAAAAAATGTAGAGATACAGTGGATTTCTGCTTTGACTTCATTCTTTGCCTCTTCCCTTTCTGTTTTCCCTAAAATTCCAACTATATTTGTTCTGTTGTCCTCTTATGATTCCATTTGTAAGCTTTCATTTTAGGATGTTCCCAGTGCCCCAGTGACTTCATTCTACTGAGCTCTTAGTGTTATTTTTATGCAAAGTTATGATCATCTGTGAACTCGTGAGTAACCTAGGGTTATCAGCATTTCTTTTAAGGAGACAATAAGAATACCAAATAATTCTTAGACTGAATCTAAATCTGAATCAAATAATTCTTACACTAAATCTGAAACTCTAGGCTGTGGGGTCTTCCTTAATTGTCAGTCCATACTTGTTTAGCTTTGAATAAGACACTTGATATCGACATCCTCTTTGTTCAAGATTCTTCACTTAGTTACCAGTAGAGGCTTACAAGTTATTTCTGGAATTCTGGGGTATTTCTGCATTTCATGTCCTTGAAATACAGAAAAGAAAATCTTGGATGTTTGGAAGCAGTGTAACGAGAGAGGACCTTGGAACCAAAAGTGCAAATTCTAAGCTTCCGTGGAAGCTGTGTTTAAAAACTGGTGGCGATGCAACTTTCAGCAAAAAAAAAAGAAAATTGCTGATCTTTTTTTCCTGGTGGTCACTGTGACAGTAATTGGATTTCAAACAGTTATTTACAAAGAAAAGCAAGTAACCCCACATTGAACAATTTCATTTTTGCCTGTGGGATTTATCTGTTCCTCTGTGTTCCGTAGAGAAACTGAACAGTCTTAACATACGATTGTTCATTATATGAAGACTTTTCAGTATTAAAGAGGAATGTTAGACTTCTTACGGATACTTAGAAAATTTCTTAGTTTCTCTATCCCTCACATATATTATTTGCATAATACATGAACTTAGATCTGAGCCATACCCTTTATGTGAAAGCACGGGCTTTCAAAGCATATAGCATAAAAGTGTATTATTCTGGCTAGTTTGTAAACTTCTTGAGATGGAATGCTGAGCAGGTTTTGAATTTGCCAAACAGACTTCAGTTTTCCACGTTAGCCTGTGGGGTTATCCACTTACTCTGTACTGCTCAATGTTTAGCAGTAGTACTGAGCACAGTAGATTTCCAGCATTTGCTGCTGCCAACGGATTTGCTTTTCTCGGAGCTTTGTAATTCTGCTTGCTCCCCTGTGCTGGCTTGGCCTCTCATCCAGCTGCACAATCTTAGGAATTCTGGATGTAGCATCAGGCTGGTGGTGGGAGTGTTTGTGGAATTGGGAAGCCAAGGCATAGAGGGGGACCCTTTAAATTTGACCTCTGCAAGCAGGCTGTTAAGTAATCTCTTCCAGTCCTCTGTCATTAGAAGAAACAGAGATTGGCTACTAGCTTTCCTCTGTTCTCTCTATTGTGTGTGTTATGTGAGTGGCACACTGGCAGTCTTCATGGCATTCTGAGATGTTGGTGAACCAGACTTGGTTTTTTTTTTTTCCATGAGATTAGTGAAAGGGTTGTTGGCAGAATCACACCTCGGTAGCTGCAGGAATTCCAGTTACCTAAGAGCAAAAAAACCAACAAGTGGGATCAGACATTTAGAACGTGCCTGAAAGATGCTTATTCCAGCTCTTCTTAAAAATGTTCTTTCAGAAATGGCCTAACTATAGCTGTACTATGGGTAGTTTCTCAGTGAGGAAGAAAGACGCACCTTTCTTTATCTTCACTTCTAATGTATTCTTGTTTTCAGCTCTGCAGTGAGAGAGGCTGCCTGTAGGAGAGAATTCCTTGCAACTGCACTGTTTTCTTTCAGCTTTTACTGATTTTCAAATCTTGTTCTGTACATTTATATTTTAACAGTAATTTACAGCAGCATCTTCAGATGTAGTCTGGCAGGGTTTTTTGTTTTCTTTGCAATTGTAAGAAACCCAGTAAGCATGAAAAGCTCATTTTGGAAGGATAAAATATAAATGATTATTGCTTAAGGAGTGTTTTAACCCTGTGATGTGTGGTCTGAAGGCATTTTGCTAACGTGTCTAAGTTGAAATCATCTGTTACAAGTATGTAGAAAGAAAGCATTTTTTATTCTTGAATAATGCGTCATGAATAATGCAGCATCTGAATATCTTGGGGTAGTTATGGTTATTTTCCATATGATTTTTATCTTTGTTGTAGGTTATCGGTACACCTCAGAGACCTTCAGTGCCAAATACTATCCTGGTAGGAAGTCCACATACACCTAACACACATTTTGTATCACAAAACCAGACTGCAGATTCTTCGCCGTGGTCTGCTGGGTGAGCAAAATAAAAGTTACAGAGGATCAATAAGTTACTTAGAATTTTTGCTCTAAATGTTTGTTGCGACAGCGTATGCGCTCTTCATGGGGGAAAGCAGCATGGGAAAGACAGTCTGTTTACCTTCAAATCAGGAGCACTTCAATGTTTAAGTGTGCTGTACTAAAATCAGATGCAGTTACACAAGAGTGATGTCATCTCATGTCATAAAAGCAACTGGGATGTTTCTGTGAACACTGACAGGTGTTCTCACATTACTTATTTTTCAAGAATTCGGCTCCTGAAAGGGCATAGGAATTCATCTGAGGCGACTCAGCTTTTAGTTTCACATTTCTGTTTGGCTGGAGGATGTCCAGAAATATACTTCAGATTGAATGAGTATATGCTGAATTATCATTTGAGTTAAGAACTTGACCCTTACTGGGAAAAAAAAAACCAGATACAGTGACTGCATTCGTTTGGTGTGTCTGAACAGCAAGATAATCATTAGTTACTTTAAATTTTAAAAGGGAGAGGGTGGAATCGTACCAAAAACATGTTGGGAAGGGTGAGGAGTAGAAAAAAAGGGAAGAGCTTGGCTTTTCACAGCAGTGTGTCTATATTTGAAAAAGAGCTGTTAAGTGTTCCAAAGTTCAAATCGTCTTAAACAACGTGTTATATGTATGTTTAGGAAGCGGAACAGAAAAGGAGAGAAGAGCGGCACGGGTTTACGTCATTTCTCTATGAAGGTCTGTGAGAAGGTACAAAGAAAAGGAACCACCTCATACAATGAGGTGGCAGACGAGTTGGTTGCAGAATTCACTACCCCCGATGATCACATTTCACCAAATGAATCAGTGAGTATATGGGAGGCTAGTTACATGTGAACTGAATGGGGAGACTTAGATTTCTTTTCCCACTACTAAATTAAACAGCTCAGATAATAGCCAAGTTTACTCATTTGCTGTAATGTATTTATTTTCAAATGTTTTTGTCATTTGTCAGGTATGTTTTTGATTAATGCACTATGTCTACAGCAGGCTTACGACCAGAAGAACATTAGACGACGTGTCTATGATGCCTTAAATGTCCTCATGGCCATGAACATTATCTCTAAGGAGAAGAAGGAAATCAAATGGATTGGTCTACCTACAAACTCGGCTCAGGAATGTCAGAATTTAGAGGTAAATGTATGGGAAATTCACAATGGATTTGTTTGATTAAAAACTTGAATTCGTTTTTATTCTACATGTGCATATGATCTTCTGAGATAAAAAGTAGAATAGTTTGGTCCCTTCTGACTTTCTTTCTAATTTGTATTTACAGAATATGCATCTAAGCTTCCAGATTGCTTGAATATTTATTTATTTTTTTAAAGTAATTCAAGTTGTTCTAATTAGAAGTAAATCAAAGCGAGTGATTAATGTGTATTTCCAACATTACACTAGTGGTAATCAAGAGTCAGGAATACTGTTTTCTTCAGATGCCAGACAAGTAATGCATCTGCAGCAATAGATGTTAAATGTCAATCAGTAGATGCAAATAGTGCATGATCCTTCTTTATTGTTGTAGGTCACTTTTGTTTCTGATAGTTAGGCAAATACATCAGCATTTTCTTACTACAAGCCTTGGAAGTTAAATGTTTTATACTGAGTGTCATTCCTGAGTTTTGGCTGAATTTTTCTGTTGTCTTTATAAGCATCCTAAGAGTCCCACATTTGCAGGATAGTGAATGTAAGATATTTAAATAAATCAATTTGTGAGAAGAGAATGAGGTGTTTGTGTTTATTCCTGGTAAGTTTTTCAGTAGAACTTAAAAGCTGTGTAGAAGAAGACAAGTGAGAAAAACATTTTTGAATCTGTCTACAGAGGGGGATGATTCTATGAAATGTTTTGGGTTTTTTTTTGCTATTGCTAACCTTCTTTCAGTTAGCAGTGTTATTGTGTTCAGATGAAGAAAGTACAGCAGATCTAATTAGTGCTTAATATTGTGGGAATGTAAGCAGCTTCGTTTCTTTAAGCATTTTTCTCCAATAGCTTCAATATCAGCAGGATATACCAAATAGATCATTCTGGTCCACATGCTTTTTGCCTCCCTCACAGAATATGGGTAACTCTTTGAGGCATAGCTTCCACTTACAAAGATGTTTTTATGCTCTTCCTTCTGTATTCTTTATTCCTGGGTGTCCTAACTCTTCTCTTTGTTATAGTTTCCATCAGTAGTATTGATGTGAGACTTTGTAGGTCTCTGCATCTTCTGCAGAACATTAGTGACTGACACACTTGTTGCCTTCATTTCTCTGCTATTTAAACAATTTAAGGGGAGAAAATGTTGATACGAAACACTGTTTAAAACCTACAAACTAATCAGTTCGTTCACTGTCTTAAGGTGGAGAAACAGAGAAGACTTGAAAGAATAAAGCAAAAACAATCTCAACTACAAGAACTCATTCTACAGGTACAGTCAAGGTACTCTTGTCTATAGGGCAAGGTAACTTACATCTGTATTCCTGTTGTTTTGTGCCAGTGGGGAAAGGGAAACATTTCGGAAGGCTAGAAGTGAGATTTGGGGTAAAGGTAGCACTGGGACCACAGTGTTGACTGTTGTTTCTGGCGAAGATACCAACTTTCTATGAGCTGTGATGTTTTTTTTTTCCCTGTAGTTGTATGTTTAAAGAGAATTTATGCTGTCAGGACCAGTAATTGATATTGTACTCCTTGGAATTGTCCAATGAATGTTTTTCTGCAGTAGTCCTCAGATAAAATAGCTTGACTGTAACAGGTCATCTCTCGTAATGATCTTTATCTTGCCTTTCTTGAATGTTGCTGCCCTGCTGTGTAGGTGGCTTAATTGTATTGGAACAGTTGCTAAATGGCAACTTGAACTTCCCAGATTCCACCTGGTATTTTATAGGAAGCAGTAATCGCCTCAGTCATTGTACTGCTGGTTCACTATAGTGTATTAGTTGTGCTGTGTATGCAGTAAGAATGAGAGTCTCAGGGAAGGCATGCAGAAAGAAAAGACAGTTGTGGATCTGCAATTTCTACAACTATCCGATATTTATCAGCGTTTGTTGGCTTTGTATTTACATTATTTTTTATAAATTCCCATTTATTTCATTTTACTCCATGACCGACCAGAAAGATAGTATTTTTAGTTTGGTAGCTTAGTGTAAGATGTTAATGTAACTTGAGTTTTTGTAGTTAACTGGAATAATTTTAAAGAATGGCAAACATAAGAACTAAAATACAAACATTCCATTCATATGGAAATTCCATTCTGAGGAAATTCAAGGTGAAATTACAAATCTTAGTTGAATGCTCCAGAAATGTAATATCAGACACTCACATCCCAAACTTTAACTGTTTCAAGCATATAATTTCAGCAAAAATACAGTCTTACTAATTCAACTATTGTTGTGGAATGTGATAGCTAGTAGGGAATACTAAACAAAGTGGAAGTATGAAGCTGTATGAAACTTGCTTTTTTACAGTTGTTGTCTTTTCTCTCTGTCAAAGTTCTATTCAGGGATCTGTAGTGACGAAATTATTAGAAAATGCTTTTTTTTCCCCTCAATTTTTATCATGTTTTTAATGCTATGATTTTTGTTTTTTTTCTTGCATCTTAAAGCTCAGGAATGCGGTGAACCTTTTTTATTCACTTCTCTGTTCATGTGCTGGTGGTACTCACAGAGATTTTTTAGGTTAATTGAATCTTGAAATTTTAATTCAGAGTTCCATATTTCCATTGCTTTTTGTAGCAAATTGCCTTCAAGAACCTCGTTCAGCGAAATCGTCAGGCAGAACAGCAGGCAAATCGACCGCCACCTTCCAATTCTGTCATCCATTTGCCATTCATCATTGTGAACACCAGCAAGAAAACAGTGATTGACTGCAGTATTTCAAATGACAAGTGAGTTAACAAAGCTTTCTCTCTGGCTTTTGGTACAGCTGTGAGTTCTGTATCTGTATTAACTCTGTATGAAGAATTAATCTGTATTTGTTCAAATGGAATACAAATAAATTGTGCCTTTTACAGATTGCCAACGTGCAGTTAAACTTAGTAATGTTGAATAGAGCTTTGTAATGGAAAGAATAATAGTGTTCAGATTTAGTAATGTAAGATTTATGAACTAGAAATTTTAGAAGCCAAGTAAGGCAGTTCTACTTAAGTTGTATACAATGCTGCATTAGTAAGGAGTGTCAGCTTGGCCCTAACTTGAAGTACGGCCAGAAGACTTGACTGTATTTTGTTTTTAAAACTGCTGTTCCTTGCTTTCAGTTCAAAAATCTAGGTTTTTCAACTAAGACTGAATGTAGTAGTGGTTTCTGCTTGCACTATTAGGTTACTATAAAGCTTAAAAAACCAAAAATTATTGCTTGCTAAGCAGTCAACTGTTGCCAGTAAAAAGAGAGGAATAGGAGAAATATTTATTGATGTGCAAAATATTTAACTAAATGTTTAACCAAAACTTTCAACATCTGTTAAACGTGTTAAAGATTATATAGTATGCAGAATTTTAATTTTAATTGAGCTTATGTTTAATTTTAGCCTAAATTTTGATTTAAGGTTACTGTGTATGATTTTTAATTATTTGCTGTCAAATACATGTATCTTGAAAATTGTGATTACTTAAGAAGGTGTGTCACTAACACTGTGTTAAGCTTTTGAAGTTCTGCAATTCCTGAAACTAGAAGTGTCTGGTAAGATAGTTAAAGTAATTCAAGCTAATGGAGACATTTTTCCTCTACAGGTTTGAGTATCTATTTAATTTTGACAATACTTTTGAAATTCATGATGATATAGAAGTACTAAAACGAATGGGAATGGCCTGTGGGCTAGAATCTGGAAGCTGTTCAGCAGAGGACCTAAAAATTGCAAGGAGTTTGGTTCCCAAAGCTTTGGAACCATATGTGACAGGTTAGTTAGTGTAAGAAGAACTATTTTGTTTTCCTTCTTTTTTAGTTTCCTTTCTTTTTTTTTTTCATGAACTCATGAAAATGTTTCAGCTAATTTCCACTGTTTTATGCTGTAGATTTATAAGTTGTCAGATGTTTGTGCTTTTTAATATACTTTGGGGAATAAATAACGTTCTTAGCAAATAGATTGTTGCTGTTTAGATCACCACTTTTTGCATTGCTCCATGCATTCTTTTCATTATGTAATTTGGTGAGGTTTTTTTGAGGACATTACTCGTAGTTGATTCATCTGCAAAGGGAGAAGGTAGTAAGTGTGAACTTGCTCATGGCTTCATTTTATTTATTCATTTTCCATATACAGAATAGTGAAGACATCTGGCTTGTCCACTTCAAAATCATATTCATTTTGAAATGTTGCAGTCACTAGGTTGTTAATTAAGAAATGTTGGGTGTAGGGCATCAATATGTTTTGTTGTATTGGCTGCAAGACTCATTCTCTGGACTCCAAAAAGAATAAAGCATTTTTACTGAATTAGGTGATTGCGCTTCGAAGTGTTGAGATCTGTATGTTTGTTTTTACAGAAATGGCTCAGGGATCAATCAGCAGTGTATATGTCACATCTTCGTCAGGTTCTGCATCAAATGGCACAAGATTTTCAGCCAGGTGAGGTGGAATTACTGATAAATGTTTAAAATCTGTCAGCATGAAGAAAAATTAACTTCATCTGAAATATTTTGTGAAACTAGTTATGCTTTGATTAAATGTTGTGTGGAGTGTGCTCAAGTTTATCCCTGGCAATTGCTTTAATTTGACTATTGGTGTTTCTTCACAATGTCAACAAAGAAACTTTTTTAAAAGTATTGGAAAATAAACTGAATAGGCAGGTATTAATTTTATTTAGATTTGAGTCTGTGACAAGAAAACAGATACTTCTAAGACCTAACCAGGGCACAGTTCTCACTTGGTTATTGGTATCTAGCACAAAACAGATTTTTGTCTTTGAACTTCAGACCACATCATACACTGGTAGAATGACAAGTCACGTCTTTTATGTAACCTTGTACAGATATATGCTATTTCAGAGCTTAACTGATATTTTATTCTCTTGCCATACAAGAGAATTACTACCTTATGTAGTAACTACTGACAAGTTTTTTTGTCATTGCATTGATCAGAAGTTTCTCTCGTGAGCTTTGAGTTGTTAAATGACTCAAATGTTATTGAAATGTTTAATGCTGTTAAAAACACTTGAATGAAGTGAGTCAATTATCTGAGCAAATTACATGTATATGTGTTCATTACCTGACATATGTTTGTCTGATGGTGTATAGAAAGTTAGCTTGATATCAAAGGCCAGTTGCATTCATCCTATTATCATGCAACTAATCCAGTCTGGGCAATGTAAAATGAGGTGAGTGCAAATTACAGATTATGTAGGCTCTTTTTGTAAGAGTGCCTTGTCAGTGCCTTGGGAAATTGATATATTATTTAAATTATTAAGGAAGTCCTAGTTTTTTGGCTGTTTTTAAAGTCATTCATGTTAGTAGAAAAACTTCTGTACTGATGGGATATCTTTAGACAAGGAAATAGCATTTTATTCTTCTTTCTTTTACCTGAAGATGCTTTTCCTCACCAGTCTGCCTTTCCTTAGAGTTGGAAGGAAGTCCTTCCTAAGGATAAAGCTTACTTTGAAAGTGTGATTGCGTTGGTCTTTTAAGGCATTCTGTTTTCCAAAGAAAACCGGAACAACTTTGGAGTATTGAGAGACTGATTGTAGCTCATTACCATAGTGAGAAACACAAGAACTCTTAGCACTTAACGTTTCTTAGGAGGTTGGAAAAGGGTAGTGATTAATTATTGTTTAATTATTGTATATATTTACCTGTTCATGGCAGTAGGAAACTACAAGATGTGTAGCATGCCTGGTGCCAAAAATTGCTGCCAATGCAAATAAAAGCTGTATGTTTATTCAGTCAACTCTCCTGAGAAAGCTATTCTAAGCCTGAAGATGTCAATTCCAGTGGCTTCATCCTAGTCTTTGTGTCACTAGGATAATTCAGTTAAGAAATCCACTTGCTTTTATCCTTTTAGTTATGTGGGAGATTGATTTTTGTTTCCATACTTGGAAAACAGGGAAAATCTCCTTTTTTCTTTATTTTTGAAATTGTCTCTACAGTTAATTGTGGAGAACTTGTTTCTTCATAATTTTAGCTAGATGTATATCTTGGTATTTTTCTTTTGAAAAAATGTATAAAACATACGACTTGAATGTATAGAATGTATGACTTGAAAAGTGACATATTGAATATATTTTCCTTGCAAGCTTCTAGGGTGTGCTACATTTCCTTTCCACACATCATCCCCATCCACCCCATCCATTCTTTCATCCTTGTACAGCTTCAGATGCAGGCTCTATCCAAGGAGTTTTCTTGGTCTACTGCATTTAACTTTGAAACCTTGGAAGTGTGCAGTTAGCTAGCTGAACATCATTTCCAGGTTAAATGAAAGGGGAAGCCAAAACAAAGCACAGCATTTTCATCAAGATTAAAGAGCAGAAATGTAACTTGTGTTTTTGAAAGAAGCTTCACTTCATGGAATGATAGACTCCCAAGCCTTTCAGTTAGCTCCATGCAACAAGATTTTGTGTGATTGATAATGCATGTTAAGTAGATTAAAAATGATGAGTAAAAGTATTTTTGAAAATAATTTTAAAGATGAGTGTTTGTCAAGTTGGAGATGTTATTTCTATGATTTTTAGAAAAATGTTTTTTCAAGAATTTGCAACTAAGAATGTAGAACTAGATAAAGTTAACAGTAGCAAACTTCAGAAAAACAGCAAGTAATGAGGAATGTTCTGACTACTGAAAGAGAATACTTCTGGATACAGATAATTCATCTAGGAAAAAGAAATTTCCAGTTAAAAATATACTATGTAGCCATGGTAGCTGACCATATAGTAACCAAGAGAAGCTATGAATTCTTCATTTTTTGAATTCTTTGAATCAAGATGTGCTTCTGGAAGATACCGGATCCAGTTGGGGTGCCTTGTGTCAGGTGCTACAGAACATTTTGGGCCTTAGATAGCTGTTAGGCATTAAGTGCACCTACTTCAAATGAAATCTAGAAAGCATATTTATGAAAGCAGTTCTTGAAAGGATTTCATATCAACCTTGTGGAAGAAACATAGTAAGAACCATTTCAAAATTTGTTAATTTACAGAGTAGCAGTGGCATTAAAGAGATGGAGAAGACACATGATAATAAGCACCATAATCTGGGAAGTATCATTAAACACTGTCAACTGGACTTTTCTTGTTTTAGTGACTTTTCCAATGGTGGAGATGGGATGTTGGCTACGAGTTCCAATGGATCTCAGTACAGTGGCTCCAGAGTTGAAACACCAGTTTCTTACGTGGGAGATGACGATGACGACGATGACGATTTTAATGAAAACGATGACGACGACTGATGCCCTTTGCTTGTAGACTTGTTAAAATTCAGCAAGCTTCAGGAATAAATTGTTCTAGGGAGAGAAGTCTCAAATAACTTTGCCCCATCCCTCAAGGAAAGTGTTGGTAAGCAGTTCTGAGTTTAGAAATGCACCTCTGATAAGCAAGCGAGGATTGTTTTATGTAGGATATTTTTAAATGTGGTGTGGATGTGTGTTTTTGATACCAGTGTGTTAATGCAGAGCCTTTATTTACTCTTGGTTTAGGGGTTTTTGGTTTATTGTTTTATTTGGTTTTGTTTTTGTTTTTGTTTTTTTACTTGAAGGAAAATGGATTTTGCCCCCAAATGTTCTTGCTAAGTTTGCTAAAGAAAATGTAGACACATCATTGAGAAATAAAATGCTGTCCTTCTGTGGAAAATGAATACACTGAATGGCAATTTATTTGGAGTGTATTTTGATTATACCACTTTCGAGGGATAGCAAGCTAATGTAGTAGTGTGTTTTTTTGTTAACCATGCAGTGTCCAAAGAACCAAACAGGAAAGATACGTCCTACTTTTTTACATGTTAAATTCCAGAAATGTTGTTGTGAACTAATTTTCCCTTAAATTATATCTAACATTATGATTCCATCAAGTTTATATACTTGTCACTGTATGTCGGGACATAAGAATTACAAACTTTTGGCAAATGTTTACTGCCAGCTGGTGCAGCTATATAAAATGTCTTGAAGGTTTGGAATGATTTATTGCTTATGGTAAAATTTGCCTGATTTCTTACAGGCAGACTTTGGAAACTTTTTATTATATAGTTGTTTACATACTTATAAGTCTATCATATAAAGACATGTACTGAAACAAATGTTTGTATTTGTTTCATAAGCATCTTCCTGTAATCTATTATAAAGTTGAAATTAAATATAGAGAATGTTTTAAGTTTTTTAACTCAAAATTTGTCAATCATTTTTAATAGTTCATTTTTATAAAAGGAATTTCAGGGCAGGTGGTAGTCTTTTTAAATTTATTCACAAACAATTAACTGCACAAATACTGTCAGCTGCCTATTCTAAGACAGTAGTCTTTTTATTGAAACACAAATAAACTTTTCTGTAATATTTTATGGAATATAAAGAGACTATAATTGTTTGACTTGTTTAACCTTGGCACTGTTAGTTTTTATTAATAAAACGCGCATGGGCATTTTTAACAAGCTCTGTGGTTTTTCTAATTTTAGGATTGTTCTAGAACATATCACTCCTCCTCATCACAAGACCTAGAACTGACTCTCTCAGAATACCACATCTGCACTACAGAGGGCTCAAATTCTTTAATTTAATTTCTTCTCATAAGTCTTGATATCATACGATGCGAAGAGCAATATCATACACTGTGTTCTCTCTTCTTTCATGTCTCCTTGTTTCAGTCCTGTTGCTCTTCAGGCTGTCGGGCCAGTCTTTGCACTCTAGTCCAGCTCTTCTGTTCAAAATCCCACATTCACTATCCTAACTTTTCATCCGATGTTCCCCAGTCCTCGTTTTCTGTCATGCATTCCCGCATCCTCAGAACAGCTCTTCCTAATGCCTTCTGTGCACTTCCACCTTAAACCTTTTTGATACATCACGCTCTCTGCTCTGACCTGGAAGCACAGGTTACTGAAATGGCTCAGTCACCCTGCAGGACACTGCCTGAAATCAGGGTTTGTTACTTACACAAAGGGAGTCACTGCAATGGCAAGATAACTGCTCTTGTGATAAGAGCTCCTCCACATGCTTGAACCCTCACAGCTGACCCTGCATTAAGCAGGAATTGAACTAGGAGTCATCTGATGTGCCTGCCAGCCTGAGTTATCATATGGTCCCTTAAGGAAAGGAAGTTACAGAATACCATGCATCAGTCTCCTGGGCAGTCTCACAAATGGATCATCTGGTTTGCCTGCATCCTGGGGACTCAGCAGAAAAAGAATGGAAGTTCAGCTGATATTCAGAAGCTCTGAGATGTTAGTAGGTTCCTATGAAGAAACAAGATGGTTAGCTGAGCAGGGAGGAGGCTGCCTTCTTTAGGATGGGGTTTCTAAGCAGAAATGCAGGTGATGCTGTGAGCAAGATGAAGGGCAATGGATGCGCACAGGCATTTTCTGCTTGCAGCATTTACTACAGTAGTCCTCATCTGATGTTATGGTGTTGCTCATCTGGCCACATCTGCCTCTCAGCAAAAATTAAGAGAGCAGCTGTCTCCAGAGAGACATACAAAGTATGCCAAGACCAATAAGAGAAACATGAACCAGAGAAAATTGAGATTGTTGATTAACGTCTTTGTGGTCATAAAGGCAGAATGCTCTGATGTGGTAGAGAATAAAGAAGAGAGATTGGTGTTAGCTGAAAATCACCAGTGCTCTTCTGTGTTCTGCTAACACCTGTTGGTTTTGTGTTTGGATGTTTCAATCAGGCCAGAATCCAAACCTAGGCTCAAGGATTTGATTTTCTTTGTACATTCATTGTGGATGCATTGTGGTACATCACTGTAAATATTGCAATCATACCAGTCCTGACAGAACAGAAGGTACAATTTTTGCTTTGTAGCAGGTTGAATGATAGCAAAGATGGAATCTTTGGCAAGGGTTGTGTTCTTTTGTCATGGGAATGTTAGAGAGTTCACAAAAAAACAAAGCAGAAAATGTAAGCAAATACTTAAAGCTTAACTCTTAAAAAGAACTGCAGCCCCAGTAATTTATTCTAGGTAAAGTAAATCTCTATATTTCTGATGCTGATTTTTAATGAACCTTGAGATTGCAAGTAAATGCCTGGAGAATGAAAGAATTCCAGAATTCCATTTTTCAAAAGTGATGTGAATATGACCTCTGTGAATATCGTCTACAGAGCCTGAGATCAGCAGCGAGCATGTCACAAAAAGTGTTGAAGGATTCAGTTGAAACTCAATCAAAAGGTTGGAAGATTAACTGTAAAATGGACAAACTGCAGAATAGGTCTTAACAAATGAATGTGGTATGATAGTGCAGCTGATTTTAGGAAGGAAACAATGGATATATTTCAATATCATTAAGCACCTCCGGTTTATTTTAAGCACCTCCAGCTTTACCATATCGATACACTGTGTGTTAAGGGGTTAAAAATTGTTCACTGCTGAATCGAAGGTTTTTGTGGGATTATCACTGGCTGAGTAGTTGCATCAAGTAACGCTGAACTACTGCTTAAGGTTTTCTTCAGTAACGTGGAAAGAAATATTTTAAACAGTAAGTGATATGATTAGAAAAGAATGAAGAGGACAGATAAATGCAGATTGCTTGGTAAGCAAGGTCGTGGCCAAAGTGCTTTGTGCAAACCACATCTTTTGAACAAAGAATTCAAGGTAACAGTACAGAAGATAAGATTATGTGCTGAAAACGTGGGATCCACAGAATGATCTGGTGCCACAGTAGATGGGAACTGCATATAAGTCTCCTACACAGTGTTTTAAGGAATTAGCTAATCTGATATTTGTGCTTAGAACTAATCATTAATCATAGAATCACAAGGTTGGAAATGACCTACAAGATCATCCAGTCCAACCGTCTCCTCATCACCTTTGCCACCACAAGCACTAAGCCATATCATGCAGCACGTCATCCAGACACCTCTTGAACACTGCCAGGGACGGCGACTCCAACACCTCTCTGGGCAGCCATTGCAGTGCCTGACCACTCTGAGAGTGTAATTGTAAGGTGATTTTACACCTGGATACATAACAGCAGGACCAGCATTGAGGAACTATGTTCTTGTTGGCCTCGCCGTTTAAAAAGATTGTTGGAACAATTGGAAAAGACTGTGAAAAGATCATTTCCTCGTTACTTGAAATCAAAGGTCAGAGTCTTCTTGTATGAGATTTTAGGAACTCTCGGTTTGTGGGAAAGAAACACAAGAAGTGTCTGGGTTTCTGTCAGATCAGATCACACAAAATGACATCGTTGTAAGGGGCTCATCAATGTGAGAGAAAAGCAACACAAGAATTAGGGACTGGAATTCAAAATCAGCTTGAAATCAGCTATCTAATTGGTAGAGGTGGTAAGAACCCTCTGACACGTGATGAAATTGGAATGATAAAATGCTCATTTTGGTAAGAGTAGGACTGACACATGAGCACACTGATGAAGCACGTTACCCCTAAGCATCTTCGAAATTCAGTTCTTTCTCATTTTAGAGCAGGTGAGAGATGTAGGAGCCCAATTTCTGCATGTGGTGCCCGAGCAGTGCTTGCTTTAACAAGGCCTTGGGCCTTCATCGACAAAAATACAATTCAGAAATCATCAGCTGTTCCCACTCTGGTATCAAAAAAATAAATTTGAAGAAATGAAAAGCGAACTTTGTCTGAAGTTGTTCAGATGTTTAAATTGAGGAGAAAAAAATACAGATATTCTTTCATACTTATTTTTTATCTTCTATTAAACAACATAATCTTGTTTGTGATTGAATGCTTTTGTCTGAAGTGGGGAAGCTTAGGAAGGGGCTGTGTATGCAAAGCATGTGATGTTTTTTGCAGACATGCAAGTTGTGATTGTTTTCCATTCATTTACTGCGAGTAGCACATAGACACTTTTATTTGCTGCAGGTTGGTCAGTATCAGTCTTTTATTACTTGAATGAAAGAGGTGAAAAACAGTTGCATAAAATGATGAGGTGGAATTCCTGAGGGCAATTGCAGTGACACTGTGGTCCTTGTGTGAGACTGTTAAGCAAAGACTTTATATTATATACAGTACTTAGGAGCTGTGGAAGCTGGAAAGCAAACGTTTTAATTTGCTGATAGTCATAGCAAAGAGCCTCCTTTAAGCATTGAAGAGCTTGTACTGATATTTTTCTTCCCTGTTAATATTTGGTTGTGACTTTTAATATTAGACTTAATGCTTCAACTACTGGATCAGCAGTTATATGAATATTTGTCAATGGATGCAGTAGGAAGATGCATCTCATCTTCAAAGGAGGTTGTAGCTGGATATTGGGAAAAGTATCTTCTTGGAAGGAGTGGTGAGGCAGTGGCACAGGCTGCCCAGGGAGGTGGTGCAGTCACTGTTCCTGGTGGTGTTCAAGGAAGGTTTGGATGTTGTGTTGAGGGATATGGTTTAGTGAGAACTATTGGTGATAGGTGGATGGTTGGATTGGATGATCTTACAGGTCTTTTCCAACCTTGGTGTTTTCTGTCATTCTGTGATCTGAGAGGTCTTTTCCAACCTTAATGGTTCAAAATTACTTCTGTGTTTGTCTGCTCTGCATTGACCTTCAGTATGAGATTTAACACCTTTAAAAGAAAAGTCTGGAAACTGAAAGTTAATGGATATTTTAAAAAATTGGATATAGATAAAATAATGCAGTTGGATAACATTAGTTCCATGCCATGTTATTACCTGCCTTTTTCCCTGACTGGTGTCTCCATTGCACAGCTGACAGGAAAAATGATGGCCCATCCCTCTGTTCTGATGACATGGCCCAGCTGCCTTCTCTTTCTAGTGTCTCAGTAATCTGCATTCAGTTAAACTTGGGAATCTCTTTTTCTTATATGGTATTAAGTTTGAAATGCACTGCTTCAGTGTCTTGGTCAAAGAAAGGTTTGTGAAGTCTGACAGGCTTTTTTCATTTGTACCGGTTGGTGAACCAATTATCTCAAATATTGTGACTGAATGTACGTGTATTTTTTGTATGTGTGTATGTGAACTTGTGTGCATATACGTATGTGTACATATATATAAAATGAATTAGAGACTTGGAATAGGAGTGCTTAGAACATTGTTAAGTGAGGCCAGTTCATCTAAGATGAACATGCTGTACATACACAGCATGTTTGTGGGAGGGCTGGACCTCTCAAAGTTTAGATTCCTTTAATGTTTTAGCTTAACGTTTTCATTTTTCCAGATTATTCCAGGTAACCCACAACTCATTGCTTTACATGGCAGTTCTTTTTTGGGGAGAAGAACAAAACACAAAAACCCCCACAACCAACCAACCAACCAAAAAAGCGTTTTTATTGTTAGAAAGAAATCACAGATGCTAGGTATTAGAAAAGCTACAGGCCGCTTTAAAGTTCTTCTCTTGCAGTTATTGATTTGTCAGCTGAAGTCAGACTCAGCTGGCTGATACACAAAGCAATGCATTGGCATGCAGATAAATAAAGGCCGTCCCTTTACAATTTAAACATCCTGTACAAGGCAGATTGAGAAGGGTATCTCAGAGTATTTCAAGCTACTTATTTTTCTAGCTATTGCTTCTACAGTATCCAGTATTAAGTATTGTACATCAATTATTTATTAGAGTTTGAAAAATGAGGAAAAACAACATTGGATCCCATACTTCCTTTTCTTGGAAAGCACACCTGCTTGGGTTAGAAGACACATGTTTTGTACAAGGATTTGCATAGGGGTTTAAGCACAGTGTAGCCACAGAACACTAGGCTGTGTACATTGGGGATAATTCCCATCTCTTTCACATGCTGAGTGATGTACTGCTTTTTAGTTGTATGGGTTACCTCTCAGTAGAAACTGTCTACTCACTGTAATTTGAGTACATTCATATGGCAATCATAGGAAATAAATATCAGTCTATGTGACAACAGGTAAGTCATCCTTCACATCAGCTTTTCAGAAGTGTCTCTCGCTGCTCAGTCCTCTATTTTCAATTTAAATTCCACTTTGCCTTCATAGGGGTCATGAACGTTATCAAAGGTAATCCCAGCTCCAATGATTTTGCACACTATCTTGACTTCTACATTCTTTGTAATGTTGAGAAATTTCACCGCTACCAAAGGATTACTGTAAGTGGGCTAGGAGGAAACAAACAAAAATTCTTTATCTTACCATTGCCAGTTTCAAAATCTTAAAATAGATCTTTCTTCCAGTTCACATAACATGACAGGAAAGTTGCAGTCATTTCATTTTACACAAAGACTGTCACCATAGAATCAGAACAGTTTGGGTTGGAAGGGAGCTCACAGCCCAGCCATCCCCAACCCCTGCCATGGGCAGGGCTGCCCCCCACCAGCTCAGGCTGCCCAGGGCCCCATCCAACCTGGCCTTGAGCACCTGCAGGGATGGGGCACCACAGCTTCTCTGGGCAGCTGTGCCAGTGCCTCATTGCCCTCTGAGTAATGAATTCCTGTCTAACATCTAACCTGAATTTCTCCTGTTTCACCTTAAAACCATTCCGCCTTGTCCCATCACTATCTGAAGGACATGAAGAAAATTAAAACTGAAATATGTGGCACCCACCTGTGCCTTCTTTCCATAGTAGGGGAAGTAGTGCAGGTTGAAGGTGCCATTCACCGGGTAGTATTCTACCTCCAGCGGGCGGGACTCATCACCCTGTTGTAATGTAAGAGAGATTTGTTGTGCCCCCCTGCAAATATTCCTTGCTGTTGCTCAAGTACAGCGATCTGTTCAGAGCCAATCTTCAAATAAAAGTGGAAATCTCCTGCTGCTATTGTTGCCAAGAAAAACAGATCTGCTGAAAGTTGCAGAAAGCTTTGAAGAGTTGCTCTGATTCATAAACTTTGCTACTGGGAGAGCAAAACAAATTGCTTTTTTGTTTGGTTGCTTTTTGGTTCTTAGGCTGCTTGGCTGTCAGAGCTGTGTTGCTCAAAGCCTTTCAGTGCAGCCCTCACACACTTACTACGTAGGTGCAGTCCACTCTCGGTGCTGTGCCGTTGCCAGGATAAAATTTGATAATCTGAAATAGAAAGCACACATTGAGTCATTTTGGTGATGGTTTTGAGACAAAAGGGAGCAAAGGATGAACTGAGCTTTAGATGCTGCTGAATGTGTTCCTGCATAAGGCCCCATCAGTCAGATCGCCTCACTAAGGTAGTGGGGGGGATATTGGCTGGGAGGTGCTCAGAAAGCAGCACTGTAAATGTCCTTCTAGGAAGCTTCTGCTTTGGCTGAAGCTCTAGGACCCATTTGGTCCCACACAGTAGTAGGGTGACTTCCTGCAGCAGCAAAGGCAGAAGGAACTGAAGTCCCCAGGGCCCTCTTAACTGCCTTTCTCTCTACCCTGCATGCATCCTTGCTGAGGAAAACAAAGAACTTCCTCAGGAAACACCTCTAATTTTGCCTGCAAACATTAGGTGCATGGTTCTGCCCTCACAGGTGGATCTCATTTTTGGGTTCCCAAAAATATTCAGTGCCCAAGCCTAGGGTGCGAGCCAAACCAAAAATGAAGGGATTTTGTCTATCAGGAACTGACAAATACAAACTCTGAATGTTTGTTCATTCAAAGGTTTTCTTTGCAGGCTGGAGAAATGGAATGTGCAAGAAGCACATCTCTGAAGTCACTTTACCTAGAGCCCTATCTTAACGCTTTAACAGCAAGGTCTCAGTACTACAAAAAAGAAGCTTTTACATAATAGTTTTTCAGACAGCAGCACTACAGAGATATTAACAAAAGTGCCCCAAAGCTTCAGAGATTCTGTTCATGTTACTCTCCTAGGGATGGTGACAAAGTCCCACTGCTTCTCTAGTCACTCTTGGGAAAAGAGCAGTGAATTGTCTACACACTGCAAAGCAGAGTTGAGCTCCCCAGCTGAGAATCATGAGACCAAGTGCTTCCTGACTAATTCCTCACTGCTCTGCAGCCTGACATTGCACTTACCCTGTTCATCTTTACAATAAAGCAAGGTTTTCCTTCTGGAAATCCAAAAGTAGGATCTGTGATGCCAGAGCAGTTTTGAAGCATATCTGATGTAAACTTGCAGGACAGTTTTGTGTTATTCGGACCATCAAAGGTGTTCTGGATGAAGTATGTGTTGCTTGTGCAGTTGATGTTCAGATGCTGAGCAGCTGGGCTATATGCTGGGTTTGTGAAAGAAAACAGAAAATTCCTCTGTGAAGCCTCTCATAGAGAAGTTACGCATCTGGGAGATTTAGACTGGATGTAAGGAAGTAGAATTTTACAGTAAGGGCTGTGAGGCACAGGTTGCATGGAGAGGTGGTGGATTCCCCATTCCTGGAGACACTCAAGGTCAGGCTGGATTGGGGCCCTGAGCATGCTGATCCAGCTGTACCTGTCCCTGTTCACTGCAGAGGAGTTGGATGGATGGCCTTTAAGGAACCTAAACGATTCTCTGATTCTATCTCAACATCAGGTTGTATATTCTATGATGGGAGATTGTACTTCAAGTGAAGTGAAATCGGGATTAGATGGAACAAGGAAAGTTTAATTCTTTTTTTTTTTTTTTTTTTCTAAGAATATGCAGGGGAGAAAAATAAAAAATTGCATTAAGGCTGGCAATTTGTGTTGCCAGCTCCAGAAAAAGGCAATTTCAAATACGATTTTTCTCAATGCATGTATGAGAAACAGAAATGTGATAATAAGGCTTACAAGGAATATAAATATATTGAACTATGAACATAAATGGAGCACCCAACTTATTTTGGCTGTGCTCTTTGATGACAGTATGTGCTGGCTCCACAGGACTTGCTGTGGCACTTTGATATTTGTAGTCACAAATACGATTAGATTAATTTAGACAGTAGTTCTGTAGATCTTTCTCTTCCCATTTCTTTACTCTCTGATAGCCTCTTTTATTAAAGCTACAAAAAAAAAAAAAAAAGAAAAAGAAAAAGAGCAATGAAGCTGGGCTCTGCTTTTAATATACACGTTTACATATGTTTGATTTATAGATTCACAAAGTGATTTGCTCCTGCTTTTCAGAAAAAAAATGTATTTCCCACTCAAAATCTCTGATTTCAGAGGGACAAACAGAAAATGGAAAACCTGAAGGTTCTCAGCTGTAGTAAGGAAAAGGTGACAGAGCATTTCTTCAGGTGACCTTATTGTCTTTTTTACCTGTCAGAAACGTCTGGAGCATTGTCACCAGCCCCTCCCAGGTCTTGTTGTCAGATGCATTGTAGTAGATTTGTAGCCCTCTGTGCCCATACACGTCTGGTCGTAATGTTACACCTTCAAGAGGGGAAGGCAAAGCAGGAGAGAGGTGCTGTTATCAGAGCAGATCACAAAATAATCCCAATGACTGCAGTGGATTTCCCCAGGACTTGTTAAACACAGCATTTACAATAAGGAAATGGGCTGTCCTGCCAGGTGATAAACAGCTCTTGAAAACGCTGTGCTTAATATTACAGAGAAATGATATTGTCAGCAAACATCAAACTAAGAGAATACTGAGAAAGAAAGCTTCCAAGTACAGCAGGCATGCAATAAACAAACAAACAAACAAACAAATAAATAGAGGCAATTTCTTTGAAAAAATCATAAAAAGTGACTTGGGGGCTGAAGTTCTAGCGATAGGCTCTGGTGATCTCCTGTTAATTCTGTCTTGTCCCTCTCCATCCTCACATCATGTCCCACAAACCCTGATTCCTCATTCCATGTCTCTTTGCCTTATTTTATGCCTTTTATTTAACGGGCTGCTGGCACGGCTCATTAAAATATTTAACATTTGTTAATTGCTTTCAGGCTGAGGTTGAAAGGGATGGTTAAGGTAGTTGCTGTACCTGGGGACTTGAGCTGGTCTTGGTAATCTGGCTCGTAGGGATTCACCGTCCTCATTAGGGAGTATATGGAGAGGGCAAAGATCCCGGTCATCACCACGTAGAAGGCCAGGTAGTACAGGCTGATCCACACTGAGGGAAAAGGAGGGGAAGGGTCTTCAGGCTCATGCTGTGTGAACACTGCAGCTAATGGCATCATGTCAGCAAGAAGGGAACGAGCCTGGCATTGCTGGCAGTTGGGTTGTTTAAAGCTTGAAGGATTGTGTGGCTTCATGGAGCAGCTTCCCACATTAAGGCCATTCAGCTGCTTATTACACACAGACTGAGCAAAAGACCCAATAGATTTCATTGACAAAAGCAAGCTGCTGCTCGTATTGCTTGCACCGTGGAGCTCAGTGTTCTGGGCATGCTTGCTTTAGATCCATATCTCACCTCCAGCAAAATGCACCATGTTGCTATTTCATTATGGGGTGAGATTCAGAATAATGCTGGTTTTAGTGCATATATGCAGAATGTATACACAATCAGAAAGGATTAGGTTTCCTTTTTGTTTATAGGAATGGCTAATAGGCTACAGTTACATGTTTCCCATCAGAAGAAAACCTTCTGGAAGCTTGCAGCTACACTTACAACTTGCAGGAAGTGCAGGGACTCTCTAAAATATTCCAAGCTGCAGTTCCCAGAACACAGATCATCAGATCATCAAACACATTGTTGTGGCAGACATAAGCTTGGCTACAAACAGGAAGCCTCAGCTGAAACAGGCATTAGTTCAACGGTAAAAGAGATTTACTCAACATGCAGTAATTTAAAAAGGAAATTCAGAAAAGCAAAACGTGATTCCAGAGAATTGGACAGAAAATATTTTCCCACACCTCCCCAGCTAGCTGTAGAGTAGAGATCATCAGTGCAGGTCTGCAGCACAGTGCTGCCATTGCTTGGCCCCATCAGCCTGGCATCTGCAGGGCTGAACAACGCCAGTGTAGCAGCAAGGCCAAATTCCCCTGCAGCAGAAGCCCTTATAGACAGCAATGTCAGCATCATGTTATAGTCATAACACTTAGCTATTAATAGGATGTTAACATGTCTATTGCTTATAACACTCTCCTTGTCTATAGCAAGGGAGTTGGAACTAGATGATCTTAAAGGTCCCTTCTAACCCAAACCACTCTATGATTCTATATGTCCAGTGTTGTCCATAACAAATATTTGGGCCAGAAATGCTTTAGAATATTTGCAGGAGCTTCTTGGATCAATGTTTCGACCTAATTGACTGTATTCAGAGAGCAGGGATATTGTAAGAGGATCAGGAGCATATCCAAAAATCGAGGTTATAAAAAATTCCATCCTTCCATTACCTCCCATTCATCAGAACAACCCCCATCCCTTCAAGATTTTTAAGGGTGTCAGAAAGGAAACCCTTGTGCACAGAAACATACCCCAGTTAATCAAGGTCCTTCCCATAAACAGCTTCGTTTCTGGATTCCAGACAAAACGGCGGAAATTTTCCATCCGTTCACTGCAGGTCTTCTTTTCATTTAAAGTTGCCATTTTGCCACAAAATTTCCCCCAAAAGCGTCTTCTTCAGAAATGAAGAAATTCAACCGGGACTCAAAGAGTTGCCCAAGCAAATTGCTTTGGTTTTTATACTTTCCCCTCCACTGAAGGTCAAGGAGATCACTGCCTATACCAACAAAAGCCCCTACACTGATTACTGGCCCGCAGCAGATGCAGTGCTTTATTGGTAGTGCTGATAACGCTCAGTGCTGAGGCTGGCAAAGGAAAGTCAGCTCCTATCAAATGCCCTTCCCAGGTAAACTGCCCCAAAGAGATTGACAGGATTACGCACTTCGCAGAGTGCCTTAGGGCTTGTGATATGCTCAGTGTGATAGTGGTTATCAAAACAGATAAGGAGAAGGAGAACCTTTTCTCTCTGTTTTTTTTTTTTAATTTATATTTTTCCCTTCCTTCCTTCCTCTCTTCCTCTTTCTTTCCTTCTTTCTTTCCAGTTAACCTGCAAATACTGATTGCAATACTCCCATTACAACCTATGGGCAGAGGGATGGGATTTCATCCTCTTTTTTAAACACTGGCATGCCCTGCCATTCAGTATGGTGGCAAAGTCATTAAAATGGGAACATCTGACAAGATTAACTGGCAGGCTTTTGGTTATCTGGACATTGAGACAGCTGTAGTTGAGCCCTGTGACATGGCAGGGGTTTCTGCCAGCTAAATAATGCTGAATTTCTAAGAAGCAATACAGATTTATATTGCTTTTCTGCCTCAGGTCAGGCAGCATGATGTTTTATTGTAAGAGCCACCGATCTGGGGTGATTTTACCTGTTCTCAGATGATAAAATAGGAACCAGGCTAAGTGAAACAAAATTAAGATTTACAGACATTCTGCCAGTTTGTATGCCCCATGGAAAGAGGAGGATGAACAAAAAGATGGCAAAGCCAAGCCCGCCTGCATTCAGGAGTTTGTGTTACGCTGTATGGGAAGCTGGCAGTACACTTCATGAGCCCCAGGCCAAGGATTTCATGTGGCCATGTAGTCATCTTCTCTCGTGTTATATCTCATTTGTCTATCTATACCTGTTGCTGCATACAACTTGGGAACCCCAAGATCTGAGGAGCACAGGTGCAGTGCAGAGCATGACTGAGGCTGAGAAATGTGGATGGCAGGAAATGGCCTTAGGCCTTGAAAACTGCGAATGAAGATGTGCAGAAGTATCTACAAAAAGCAGTACCTACAATAAGAGGCAAGAATAAAGGGGAAAAATATTCCAGATGGAAATCTGCTCTGACTGGAAGCTCCAGAAATACAAATTATGTAAACACATTAACCACATTAATATAAGAGCATAAATAAAATTACCGCAAGTTAATTATATCCTTATTTTATAATGAGCCAAGTACATAATTCTAACATGAATAAATTAAATATGTAAATATATTAAGAACAATAAATGACAAATGTGTTTACACACGGAATCAGGAGTAGGAAAAACAAAACATCAAAGTCCTATGAGAGCAGGTGGTTAAATTAACGTGGTTTCTCTCTTCAGTATTTGGAATCGTCAGTGAAAATGTAAGAAAAAGCAGGCAAAATATCTATAAAATCTTCAGTGGGGCTGTTGCTACGTGTCATGGATGCTCCTGACCAAGCAGACCCACATCACCTTCACCCCCAGTCCTCTTGCCAAGATGCAGCCAAGACCGCGACAAGGGAGGCCCAGCCAAGGTCACAGCTTCTTTCTTGCCTGACTTCAGAATTATCCCAGCGGGAACCTGGAGATTTTCCACCTCTCTTCAGGCAAACTGACTCAGAGTTTGGTGCTTCCTGTGAAAGGCTGAGGGGAAATTTTGGAATGAAAAGATTTATAAAGACAGATTTTTCCTTGGAGGGTTTTTCCAGGCAATGTGTGAAATCTGCCTCCAGGGAGCTGGGACCTTACCTTAATTCATTAACTGATACCTTAATTTGCCCACCAAATTGTGCAGCCATATTTAGTGGATGAAAAGCTGGATATGGAAAGTTGTGATCAGAGGGCACTGGCATCTGCAGGTGGAGGTAAAAGAACACCAAAAGCTGGGGTTGGGAAGCACTAGAGCCCACAGAGCTGAATTCAGAGCTATCACAGCTGTGTGGCATAAATCAGTGTGGAGCTGTGACAAGTAAGGAAACATCATGGAAAATTTGTGCATGTGAATGGGGATACGCACTGCCTGTCTGAAGAGGTTTATTAAGATAGGATGGAGATATGACTATTCCAAAGGCTCTGTTCAAAAGCTCCCAGCCAACTGCTGGGACCGTTTGTCAGGACATTTGTCACCAACCAGTGGACATCTCTCCATGTCTCCATGAAGGGCTTGTTGGTCTAAGTAGCTGCTTGTTGTAGCCCATTAGGATTCAATTCATGCCCATTCTCCTCATCCAGTGCTGGCCCTGCAGCCAGCTCTGGTCTCTTTATTCTGCCCAAATCCTGCAGCATTTTGGCCTTTGGTTGCAAGGCCATGGGCATGTGGGCATGCACACACACTGCATTCAGAGAGCAGCAAGGTACTTCATGTACTCAGAGCTTCATGAACTGGGACCAATGTTTGCTTTCCCCTGCTGGTATTTAATGTCTGCATCTCCGACCTTGGGCTGGCTGTTCAGCTGAAGGACAGCCAAGCGGCAGGGTCACACAGGAGCATGGGACAGAATTGGAGACCACGGCCCTGCTACCCCTTCCAGCAGGCAGCAGCGTTAGCACCAGTTTTGCAGTTTTAAAGATTGCTTCTGGTTGCCCTGCTCAGGGCGGGGGGGGGCGCTGTGTGCATTTTCCTGCTTCTGTTGACCTCACTGTGTGCAAGGCAGAGCCTGGCCTCAGGGTGGCCCATGTTCTCCAGAAGAGTAATGGAGAGCGTGTTCAGGAGAGCTGTGCTGCTGTGATCAGAAGTAGCTGAATGCGTACCTGCAAAGGGAATTAGTACAGTTTGTAAGCTTGAGTATGAGCTTTAAATTTAATTTAGCCTCTTTTGGAGCACTATGCCTGTAAGTTTTGGTCTAGCCTGAAATGCTGTCCTTCTGAGATATTCTCCTCGGTAGAAGTGGATGACAGCACACCTTGCACAGCGGTGGCTCACCCTGCTGTATAATGCTCACTGCAATGAGCTGCTGGAGCTGCTGCACGGTACTGAATGGGAGCTCAGTGTCAATGTTAGTAAAACATTAAACATTATTCACTCGTGATAAGGGCAGGCAAGGAGGGAAATCTGTCCTAGTGGTGGGTCCTGGGCGGAAGCATCTGCTGGGCTGCCACCTTCTATGTGTGGAGGTCACCTCAGGGGTGATGGGAGAGCTGGTGTTTGGGGGTCATATCCACTGGCAGAAATGAGCTTTGCATCTTTCTCTTTGATTAATGGCTGTTTTCCATATTAAATGGTCAGGAGTTGGTCAGGCTTGCTGTGCCTTTCTAGTGGAGAGAGTAAAGAGAATTTTATATTCCTCTTATTTGCTTTTCTCCCATATTTTCATAGAATCATAGAATGGCTTGGGTTGGAAATGACCTCAAAGATCATCAAGCTCCAACACCATTGCCACAAGCAATTTTGCAAGTTGACAAGACAAAGGTGTAGGCATTTTTAAAATTTGAGGACAACAATTCTACATTTGAGAATAAAGGCATCAAATTGGCAGCCTGAGGAACTCAGGGCAAGAAAACAGTGAAAATATCTTTGAGCTGAACTGTGCTGATGTTTCTAGGCTCAGGGCAATTGATAAAAGCAAGGAGGTTTAGGTGAAAGTGTGGGTTTATGATAGCAGCATGACCAGGGCTGTGGAAAGTGCAAAGCAGTTTCTCTTCAGGTCTGACCCACCACTTACTGGGGTTTTCCAGAGGACCTTGGCTGGCCTCTGCTTTTCTGCCCTGCTCTTTGTCTCAGGGCTGCTAACATGGCCCCATCATGAGCCCAGCCATCTCCCTTCACTTTCATTCTGCAATTTGCTCCTTTAGGAGCAACTAAAGGAAACTAGTGCTAAACTGAGCACAAAAATAAATACCAAAACTCAGTGATGTTCCTTTCAGACGGACAGTCAGTGAGTCAAAAGCTTGGCATTGTGGGGTGGCATACTACTGCTTGCAGTGTCTTTTGGATGATGGAGAGAGTAATGAGGTCCTTGGGAACACTAAGCATCCCACAAAACATCTCCAGCAGTTCTGGCCTCATTAACTTTTGCCAAAGGGATTTTTCCATCTGCACAGATTGTCCTATGGTGTTCATGAGGTGTTGCAAGGAAACAAGCCGCATTACCAGCCAATACCCCTGCAGAGCTGCTCCCTGCCTCTGTTATGCACAAAGTCTTGTTCATGTCAAACAAAGAACTTACATTTGGTATAATTACTATCTTGGGAGTATAATCACTATTGTTTCAAGTCAGTTACAAACCAGAAAGGATAATGGTGTAGCTAAAGCTGCACACACACTTTTTAAACTACTCCCAATATTGTAGAATCATAGAATTCTTAAGGCTGGAAAAGTCCTCTAAGATCATCTAGTCCAAACATCCACCTACCACTAGTGTTTGCCCTCTAAACCACATCCCTCAGTACGCCATCTAAATGTTTTTGATTACCTCCAGGGATGGTGACTTCACCACCTCCCTGGGTGCTGGAGCCCAGTTCAGCATCTGACCACTTTTTTGGAGATGTTTTCCCTAATATCCATCCTGAACCTCCCCTGCACAATGTGAGGCCAATTCCCCTTGTCCTATCACTCTCCTCCCCTTACTCCTTGAGGTCCTAAGATTGGTAGCAGCTTACTGTGGTTAAGGTGAGCTGTGGGCAGCCAGAGCTATGTGATGTCCATGTTGACATCTTCTTGGGCCTCAAAACAATTTGTATGGAGTCATGAATACACCTGCGAGCATGCTTTGCACCTTGCTCTCTCTCCACAGCATCCCCTTACTCCCCGGGTTGGTGTGTGTGTGCCACCCTGAGGGAGAGATTCTCCCAAAGGAAACACTGCCTTTCATTTCTATGTATTTATTTACTTGCCACACAAAA